ATCGGCTGGCCACATCGAGTCATTACGTAGGCTACATACACATCCGGTACGCCACGACGATTCTGAATGGGATTTTGGTACAGGGCGCATCCCAACACAGGATTGATTAACGCCAAAGGTCGTTCAGGTTTTCTTTTTCATCTTTGTGGTTTATTAGTGATCGTTTATCAAATCTCTTGCACGGCCTAGTCAACCATTAGTATTAAATAATGGTACCGAGAAAGAACTCTCTAGGAAAAGCTCGAATTGTTAGAGTATTGTATGATTAAGTATAATTATCAGCATAGAGTTGTCGATTTTCAATTTTATGAGTTTAATGATCTGATTCACAACTTTTCTTTGAAATCATTTCAATTTTCCAATGTCTTCTTCAATTTCCAATTATCTGAATTCTCTTTTTATTTTGGTCCCGTTATTAATTTAATTTCCCATAGAAATGTCATTTGTGGGAATAATCACTCATCAATTAGTTATTATTCATCAGTATCAATTAACATTGGCATTCTTGAAAATGACGTTCTCAATGTCGTGTGAAACTTTCATGTGAAATTCACAAAAGGGGATCGTATTGGGATTTTGAACACTTTAGTGGGAAAGCACACAAAAACATGGAACCAAGTGGGAATATGGGCTTGGGGTTGACTTCACCTGTCTCTGCTAACTCATAACCCTTTGCATTTGTGGGCAGGATAGTGCTACCAGGTCTAGTTTGCGTGCAGTAAGGAGTGGCCCCTAACTGAGTGATTAAGTACAGTTTCTGCTTCCACTGTCAGTTTATATGCTGTGGTAGCTGTTGTTGTTGTGTTCCTGACTATCCGCCTATTTTCCATTTTTTTTACTTTATTATCTGTTACTGATTTTCAATTATTACTTCCGTCAATAGCTTTTTTCTTGCATAGTCCACTCGTCATAGTCATTGTTCGTATTTTGCCTGTAACATGCGGCATAGCCATTCAATAGGGGCTCGATTTTTTAGAGACGTAAATGGAGAACATGTTGTTTTTTTGAGATACAATAATTCCAATTATGCTACCATTTCTTACAGTATCCTTGATAGGTTTGAAGTACACTATCCTCGTAAAAGTACAGATGAAAGAGTACAGATGAAAGAATTAGGCCATAGGATGGCATCGTTTGTGAATTTTCTGGTGCAGATAAACTTACATGAACGGGCCGGTTCTAGTTTTTGACGGGACTTGAATAGATACAGGGTGACCCACATGAAGTGTGACGCAGAAAACTAGCATCAAAATTATACAGATCAAACCAAATAGGAAACTATTACTCCTACACAATCATCACAAAATTGTAAACAACATATCACATTTCGCATGCAGAATGACCTTATTTCGCTTTAATGCAAGCATCCAACCTGTTTCGGAAGTTTTCAAGAATGCGCGCAATCACTTTCATCCCACGCTTCTACAAGAGAACTTTCTTTCAAAGGTTCCTAAGACCTCTGTTTGGAAGCGCAGGCTTTTTGCTCCAGAATCGACCATACCCCAAAATCCAAAGGATTGAGATCGGGGAATTCAAAGGTCAAAACTGCTTCGCCCCAAAACCCGGAAGCGTGGTTCCGCAACATTGCAGCATCTTCTTTGCGCTATGGGCTGCTGCCCAATCCTGCGGAAGGTTTAGCTGACACATCGCGTTCCTTTACCCCCAAGCGATCACCGCTCCTCCAGCCCAGAAGCCCATAAGTTGATTTTTTTATTGCCCGTCACACTTCATGTGGGTCACCCTGTAGTGGAGAATGAGTGCAGGAATCTTAAACTGGAGAAGATATCATTTTCGCTTTTAATCAGGTGTGGGCTCGTAAATGGGGTTATGGGGTGGGTTAGATAATAGACGTCTGGTGAAGCTATGAACGAGCATTGGCTGCTTCGAGAATTTTATTCTACTCTTTCTTTCTTTTACCCATAATGATTAGTGGCTTTTCTCAGCCCATTCTACCGTACCTTCTAGGGCTCCTCTGAGATTTCGAGAAGATGATAGATGTTTGGTGCTCTAATGATGGTTATCAAGTAATACTGATTGACCGATTGTTTTATTCTCTTATTTCGTTCAATATATTTCAATGTTCAAATCGATTATTGATTGATCGGTTTCCGAATATATCATTGCCTATGTTATCATAAAGAAATCATTTTCTGTTTATGCAGCCTGGAGCGCTTGAAAGTTACGGGTCTGAGTTTAGAAAATTCCTGTAGGAGAAGATTATCTTGTTTTATTTTTCCTATAGAATTTTCTTGTTTTTCTTGCGACTAAATCAATAAATTGAGAAAAAAACGAAAGAAATAGATTGGCAGCAAGGAATAAAATGGGGGAAGCAGACTTGGGAGGGTTGATGTTCTGACAAAATTAGAATTAAAAAACCTAATGTCAGCCGGGGTAATTTTTGAAAAGTTGCCAAAAAGGTTTTCCTTTTTCAGGCAGTTCAATGGTCATCACGGGACACATCATTGGTGGAATTTGTGGCTCGTCTGGCGAATCGAATTCGAGTAATGCCGGCCTTATTTGCTGTTCTTGACGAGGTTTGTGGTCTAAAGTGATGATTTATAAAGCCCAAGGTATTATTTCCGGGCTTGATTCAGATCGGGTGATAAGTTACTTTGCAATTAAAAAAAAATACGCTGTGTTATATGGTTTCACCCATCAAACCAGTCCTTTCGCGACTTTATTTGGATTGGATTTAGTAGTGCTTGCGTGCTGGTTAGGGTGGTCCGACTGCTCCCAACTGAAGCTTTTCGATCTTCCATTTCTAGGGTACCTACGGTCGTGATCTCCCTTGTTTTTGGGATTGTTGTTCCTCTTTGGGCTAACTATATGATTGCATGGCTGAAGAAAAAAATTCCCTTTGGGATCTAAAAGTCATTTAATCGTACGAGTTACTCTGTTTATGGTGGGCTCAATAGGCAAAAACCCTGTCTTCATAGTTCATGTATTAGAATGAGCCCATATTCATGCGTGCTTCTATGATTTCACGAAAGGAATGTTTCTGTGGCCGTTATTTTTCTTCAAGGGAATGATCGGTCGTGTTTTGTTTATTCATACTCCTTATTTATCCGGAGTGTAAACAAATAAGTGACCCAGGCACGCTTTTAACGATAAGACATTATTGATTTTTATTATTTGTTTCTGTGTAAGAGTTATGCAGTTAGATCTCCTCGGTGCAGGCCTCGTTACAACTTCTTGCTGGGCTGAGAGAGATGTCCTTTACTTACATTTTTCTGGCCCTTTCATTATCAATTCGCACGCGAGGCTTTACAGCTGTTTAGCACCTCATATACGTCATCAATATCTTTCATGAAGCACTCTGAGAATGCTTTTCCGGAGCCGAGACTGCTGTAAATTCTTGCCTGACTGACAAATTGCAGGCAATTGCGCTGTAAAAACTTCTAGGGTTTGAGGCCATGGGCTTGGCGAGTGCATTGAAGAGAAATGCAAAACACCAAGAATCCGGCAATAGGAAGGCTTAAATGAATAGGAAAAGGGGTTTCATGATCGATTTTCATCTCCGCCAATGCAGTGAAACCTCCCAAGTCGATGAATGAATTGGTTGGGACCATCTAACTTGGAAAACACTTGATGATGTACAAGAAGTTTTTTGGCGTGACCGCTATCATTTCGCAATTTTTGTGGTGGTTTCGACTCCTAATTTTTTTATTTTCGCCCTGCTACTGTCTAGTTTTGATGCCTTATCAGTTTGTTGGATCTGCAACGGGAAAACAATGAATATAGCTGGATCAAGCATGGCGCTATGAAGAGAGCTTCCGATACACAACAGAAGTAGACGAAACCTGCAATCTGGGGGCTGAGTTGCCCTTTCCCCCAGATTGCAGGTTTCGTCTACTTCGTGCATCCTTGACTGCTATTTTCCAAGAAAGCCATCCTTGACCAACAGTTTCTCAAGTAAGCGTTGGCAAAGAGGGAAAAAGAGGGGCCTGAGAAAAGGAGGTCAATGGGAGCCTATATAACAGTAGACTAGCCCGAACAGAAAACTTTTGTTGAATCTCTATCTGATCTTCATCAGAGCAATACCTCCACCCTCTTTCAGTAATACGACCCTATCCCTTCCTTATTGAATAGTCGAATACTATCTCCTATTCGTGCCTAAAACTTGATTGAAGGCTGAAGGCGGCTTCTTTACAAACTAACTTGTAAGTGGGTTGTTCCGATGATCGATTGGGCAGTTGGCTCTACTAAGAGCAGGTTAATACTGAGCCACTGTAGTAGAGGGAGTTGATCATCAGTCATGTGCAGGCAAGCATGCGTACAAATGCTATTACAATCTTAAAACGAATGTCATGTGCATGGCGCCATCTGAGCGAATTGCAACCGATCAGTCAGTCACAATGTAATCAGTCACTTCACCGTTACTGCCGAATGCTGCGAATCTGAAACCTACAGAGACATCAACAATCGATCATGTTACGGATTAGTGCCTGAGTGCAAAGGAGCCGTGAGAAAATTCTCACAAAGTCTCCTTTCGACCTGCTCTGCTAGATAGCTTCACTAATGAATCGGATGCATGTTTTGGAGCTTTGCTCATGAAGGGGATGCGTGTTTTGGGCCGATTTTCCCAGAGTGAATGGGCTTCGTCCTCGCAAAAACGTTCACTTTAGGCGAAGGCTCATGCTCAGTGTTGAGGGAAAGTAAAGGAACCAACCACGTCTTGGGTAATATGCAGCAGTTTCAACCCCACAAAAATAAAAAAGCAGTTTTTGTCATCGCAGAGGTTCTAAATCAAGCAGGAATTCGTTTCTCGGTAGCATCTAGTTTTAATTCGTCGTTTTCAATCATTCCTATTTCATGAATAGGCCTATACTCACTGAGGCTCCCCATGGGTTCAATGATATTGCTTGTTTCGAACGATCTTCTATTTATTCAACTGGTTCCACTGTAGTTTCCGCTTTGACATGCCGTCTAGAGTTTCATACTTCTGAGAGCGCTCCTTGACTGCCAGTCTTCCCGCCAGCCAAATTCGGACCTATCGCCGCATGTCGAATTTATTGCAGACCAGCTGGCCATGGCCATATTCAACCGTTGATCAAGTATGTATTCTTCAGGCTGACCAAGCAGTCGAAGTATGCGACGAGTCAAAAGTAGTGCAATACGTGAATCGTGCCTACGAGAGTGTTACTGGATGTCTGAGAGGAGAAGTCGTTGGTGAGCTCTCCTTTTTTTCAAAATTTTTTTTCCATCTTTTTCTCCGTTTTTGAATGATTTCCTTTATCATAGTGCACAGCAACTGTTTGTTTTTGTATGATCAATCCATAGTTCTTGCCTCCTTTATCTGATCCTCAATCGCTTCCCGATTTTTGAAGAAAAACTTCTGCACTCCTGTTTCCCAGAACTCGACAATTAATCTTGATTAACTGCTTTGAGAATGTTTTTTTTTCTATCACAGTGGGAGCTCGGTAAAGTACAGGGTAATATATATTTAATTCGGAACATGGCTTCGTTTATGGGACCGTGGTTTCCCGAACTTATCGGAGAATCTTGACTGCAGTTCCTCTCTCAGCCTCCCATTCCTCCTCTGAATGGTATTTGAACTGGTTGCATTTGAAAGTGGCTTACATCAATGCCCTTCACCTCAGTACGAAGCTTTTCCCACATACCTCCCACATTCGCTTAATACCGGCCAGGCTAATAACCCTCTACTGATCGCTGGCTTCAAAACAATTGAAGGGTCTGGTCTTTATAGTGGTGATGATAAATTCAATGTAGGTAATACCCATTTCAGTGGTTTGGGCAAGGTTAGGGTAGTGAGTAGCACCCATGACCCAGTAAAGTTGATCCGTTGGGTTATTTGAATCGCTCTCTTAAGTAGTAATTAATAGGTCCTCTTATTGATGTGACCATGACGATGAGAATTGAAGGATTTCATATGAACCAACTGAAGGGAGTGATAGTGTGCGAAAAAGCCGATGTTTTCATGGGAGAATGCTGTGTGTTGAATGAATTTTTCATCGCTCCAGCCTTTGTATTCCCGTTCGTCATGCGTCATCAATGCGTCTGTTTTTCGTTTAGTGAGAGAGTAGAATCGCCTTTTGTGCTCCGTTTTTACTATGAAAGAAGGAATGGAATAGGCTTGAAGCACGCAGAAATCGGGCGGGGAGGGGANGGGGGGGGGGGGGGGGGGGGGGGGGGATCTCAAGACTTTTACATCAGTAGGAGAGGTTTTGAAGGTTTTGGGCTTTACAACTTTTATTTTACAAGTAGTCTCCTTCACATCACTGTCTTTATTACTTAGGATAAAAGAAGGAGAAGAGGGATCAACACCAACGAGGAACCCCAGAAGGGTGGCTTTTTTATTGAACAAAATGGGTATGAACCCTTTCTGTTGGCAATAAATATGGTATGGTGTGACAATAAATATTGCAGGGAACCGTTCATTTTGTATGCTATTCCCTGCAATCCATACGAATTTCCATGGTCAACTTTCCCTTGAATTGTGACCGGGAATTCGAAATCACACTGTACAATCAGAATACATTTTTCCTTAATACAAATGTAAATTTTGGTCCTTTTCATCGCCTTTGCAAAGAATCGGTATCATCGTTTTGAATACTTTTGACGTGGCTTTCCCATATATGACGCGGTTCACGTCACGGGTGTTATACATGGGGGCGGAGTTGGCTACTCCAACATATTTTTTTATCGATTGAACCGCCAGTTTAGATTCAGCCTAATAGAGTTATTTAAAAACCTCGTGAAGAGATGAAGATAACAACAAACTCTGCAATATACTAGGCTTAGACTTACTATGAACATACAGTTCGAGATTCCATCAATAAAGAAATCCTCCAGACACACCAGTACCGTAAGCTTGACCATATGAATGCGCGGGAAAAAATTGGATTCGAATGTAATTTCTTACCGTAATCACTTTACTGCTTTGCACTGTTACTGCGCAATAAATCTTAGTATTGTTTCACGCTAACATACCACTGATGGTAATGTGGAGCAATGGCGAAACTACCGTAGTAGTTGGGAATGGTATTAAAGGGACTCATGGGTCTTTTAGAGGTCCTTCCCTTTTGCCGTTTTTGTCCTCCAATTCTACTCCATCGTCTTATTCTTTTCCGGCTGTCACATTATCCATAGATCATATCATTCTGTGATTCGTGCCTGTGTTGCTTTTCTATGACATTTCATCACAATTCCCTTCCCAGAGCACCTAATTCCCTTTTTTTTCTTTTCGATGTCACAGCTTTATTGTGGCTTTTCCTGATAACAGGTAGTGAGACCTTGAACTGGTGCACTTATCATAAACATTAACCAGACCTGCTCATTTCCTTAGTTTTTCCTCGTCGTGAACTTACTCTTGTAGTTTTACGGTGAGTTTCTCACCCTAGTCGCTTTGAAGTTCTCTTCTTTGCAACATGAATGCCTCCAGAAGTTTCCAGTCAGGGGTGAGAGCTCATTTCTAGGGAGAATCATGAGGATGAAATGCTCACTTCTGGAAACCATTTTCCTACGCGGACTAGCAGCTCCTTTGGTGCTGGCCCAGATCTATACTGGAGGATTTCTAGGTCTAGTTGAAGCCGTAGTCAAACATGATATATACTCACAGAGACCGTGCGGAAGGTACTAGAAAATGGTTTGAGAATAAATATATTATAAAGGATAAGGATAAAGTTTTTGGCGTTAATCAATCCCGTCTGAGGGATGCGCCCCGCACTCGACTTCCATTCAGAATCGTAGTGGTGTAGTGAGTGCGTATATGGCCTATACAATGAATTGCGTTGGCCAGCCGATGTACAAGTCAGTGCTTTTATCCTCCCAGGTCTGGTACCAATTCACCGACCCCAGAGGATGGAAGGCTTGGTTGGCCTAGCAGGCATCAATCCGGGATTCGGACCCCTGACCGTGCGTGTGATATAGTGCGCCACTTGCCACCACACCACTTCCGCCCTATACTATACTGGCCATAAATATAAATATTGTATAGAACTGGAGCAAGTTTCTCTTTCATCGGCATAGTCTTATGGAACGTGGTACTACAGTTAACAGAACCATCTCTCGATGTGGGATGCGTAATTAGTTGGGAATTTCGATGAATCATCTTTGGGAAGCAATCTGCTCTTCATTATAACTACTACTATTTGACAACATGTTGCACTCTCTCAGGCTGTCTGTCACTGTTCTCGCCCCTTATTTCTCTTTCCCGCTCCTAGAAATCCCAAGTACAAGAGTTTCATTTTCGTAGCAGCTTCCTTGAAAAAATAAGGAGGTGTGGGATTTCGTGAAGGGTTAAAAGCAAAAAAGACGAGGAAATGGCCTTCAACACAAGGCTGTCCGCATTTGACTTCTTTTTGAACCCTGTTCAAGACCTAATGAACCCTCAACCTAACGAAATTTCCCGATACTGGAGAGGCTTCGATCGGAGCAATCCTTGATTCGTGGGATGGTTCTTTTTGTACCTCAAATTTAGGAAATGAAATAACCCAGTCGATTGTGAGTTAGTGATGAGAGTTGCCGTTACTATCGCATGGTGCATTGATAGAGTTTCGATAGAATAGATCCTCCGCCAGCCAGATTGATATTGAATTCGTTTGGGAAGGCAAAATCCTAAGGCTGAGTGGCTGACTGGCTTGGCTGGAGGTGGCTGTGGAGGATAGTGGGTGCAGGACCAACTACGATTTTAAAAAAGGGTTCAAAGTGTAGTTGATCCTGAGCCTATGTTGCTAGTCTCATTTATTTTATTCTAGCTATTCTGAGTTCATGAGTAAACTGAGGTCCTGTTTGGTACAGGACTTTCTTGGTAGGGTTTTCTGAATTCTTACAGGATTCAGCGAGTTTATGTTTCTGGAAGTTTCTGCCTTTCATAATCCTATTGTGAAATAGCCGTTCTACAGCAGTAATATTGCAATTTTACAAGCACATTAGAACTTCGGTTTTAAATTTTCTGGTACGCTACATGGCAGAATCCCAACGACCATCCTCTCATAGCAATGCTTCAGAGTTTTACGGCCCGTGGTGCCAAGCTGCATCTCCCCTTTCGTTCATGCCCGTATTTGCCCTTTCGTTCATCCCCATTTTCCATACGTAATACATAGCCAAGCAGGGAATAAGGTTAAAATCATGTTCGTTACCTTGATAAACNTTCTTACAGGATTCAGCGAGTTTATGTTTCTGGAAGTTTCTGCCTTTCATAATCCTATTGTGAAACATGCCGTTCTACAGCAGTAATATTGCAATTTTACAAGCACATTAGAACTTCGGTTTTAAATTTTCTGGTACGCTACGTGGCAGAATCCCAACGACTATCCTCTCATAGCAATGCTTCAGAGTTTTACGGCCCGTGATGCCTAGCTGCATCTGCCCTTTCGTTCATGCCCGTATTTACCCTCTCGTTCATCCCCATTTTCCATACGTAATACATAGCCAAGCAGGGAATAAGGTAAAATCATGTTCGTTACCTTGATAAATCATCAGGGGATAGAGGGGCCAAGTGTAAACCTGTACCCGGGTCTTTAGTGATTTGGGAGACCTCGTTTTGGCTGCAGAAATTACTGTAATTTGTCCATTTTTGCTTCAGAAACTTGTTTTTTTTTTCGTTCTCCAAGCTGCAACATTGCAATGTCACACAACTATTTGCAAAACTTTGTGCTTTAGCTGGGTATTGAACCTGCCCGATTGAAAGTCACCTGGTGATACACACTTCGTTTTTTTCAGTTATTAAATTTTTGCTATTATTATTTCCCAAGTACTACTTGTCTGTGGCAGTGACGAGTAAAGTTACCTCTTTCAATCAGAAAAAAATCGTCTCCTCATTAGGCGTTGTTTCTGCTGAAACTCTATGAAACTTGGAAGTAATAAGAGTAAGAAGATTCTTGAGTTTTTATACTTGTAGCACTAACAAAGTACATGACTATAGTTTGAGGAATGCTGGGAAATGGCCAACACGATGAATCAGACGGCTACGTGACTAAAAACAGCCGTTTAGGATGTCTGTTAGATGATAGCTACTAAAGGACGGTGTTCGTTTTGTGGTCATTAGGAAGCGGATTTTCACTTCACAACCTAATTAGGCCCCCACTCTAATGCAGCTGTACTGCTTTTTTTTTAAATCGTTGGTTATGATTTTTATAGAAATATCATAGGAATATTTCGATATATAGCTTTACGCTCTAAGTAAACAGATAAATAAATAAATTCAATGAGTAAATATATGCTCAACAGCTGCTGATGATATGTTTGTAGTTTGAATATT